GAAGACGAGACCGAGGACGAAGCTGATGAGCAGAGCGTGCCCTGCCGCGCGCCGCACGAAACACAGCGGGCACCGCGCGCGAGTCCAGCCCGGCTGGGCGGCGCCTCCAGCTCCAGCTTGGCCGCCTCCGCCGCGGCGCGCGCCCGCGCCACGGGGTCCTCCGCGGTGCCGCCGGGGGCCCCCGCTCCTGCTCGGCGCGGTGGAGGAGGGAGGAGAAGAGGAGGGAGGAGGGATGAGGGAGGAGGGCGGAAAGGAGGGGATGAGGAGGGAGGAGGCAGGAGGCAGGAGGGAGGAAGTCTGGTGGTAATATACAAGCAGGGGTCTGAACAACTAAATTCCACATTCATTCAGGATCCACTTGGAAGCCGCTGGATCTGATGTTTGCGCCGTCGTCATCCAACTAGGAATTGAACCGTGCTCGGTTTAAATCAGGATCCCCTGGTTCTGGGCCAGCGCAGTTCTTCCTGGCGACCTCCAAGAATGCGACCTATGCGGATATGCTGTTAGCCCGCTCCATTCCACTTGAATATGTATTCGTTTATGTGATAGTGTCTCTCAATGCATAGATTTGTGTGTATATATATATATATATATATGTACATATATATATACATAAATATGTATATATATATATACATATATATATATATATATATACAAGACTACAGTGGCGCTTCGCGCCATGCACCTTGGTCCTTGAAGATTGCTATGCAGGCGGGAAAGGCAGGTAGGTCAAGCGGACACTTTGACGATAACTCCTTGCTACCTTTTCTGACATCGCCGTTATAATAATATTGTTCGTTATCCTTCATCCATGCTTATTTTTCTTCATTCTCGCCATATCCTGGGCATTCTCCCCATTCTCCTCAGCTCTTTTTGCGGAGGCTCCTCCTTGGAGAGCCTCTGGGAGCCTCACCGAAGTTCTCAAGCTTTCTTAAAGCCTTCTGGAGGCCTCCTGGGCGTGTTCTGGGGGCCGTTGGGGCTTCCTGAGGCCAACCTGCCTCTAATAACCGCGGTCTCCCTGATCGCCCCGGTCACGATTTGGAATGCTTCGGAGGGTGTCTTGGGGCCATCTTGGGCCGCCATGGGGCTCCCCTAGGGCCATGTTGGACCCCTGGTGTGCTGTTTTGGGGCTCTCTTGGACTGCCTGGAAGCCCTTTCGGATGGCTGTGGGGCGATTTTGGAGCCTCCCAAGCGACTTCGGACGCCCAGAAGACCGCTGTCTTGGAGCGTCGGGAAGCCGAAAAGAGGAGAACCCCAAATTCACCAAAAACCTTCATTAAATCAATGATTTGTCCCTCTTGGGGCCTTCTTGGGGGTGCTCTTGGAAGCCTCTTGGTACGTTTTGGAGGGATCTTTCGGGGTATGACGGCTTCTTGGAGCGCTTTTGTGCTGTCTCAAGGTTCTCCAGGACGTCTCCGATGACCCCCCTGATCGCCCTAGGCTCCTCCTCCTCCTCCTCCTCCTCCTCCTCCTCCTCCTCCTCCTCCTCCTCCCCCCTCCATTTTTTGCAAAACCCATGGCACGCGTGCCAGTTGTTTTCGGTTGGTCGACGATGATCCAAGATGCTCCTCGATGACCCGCGACGAAGATGAAACGCACGCACCCGGGCAATGCCAGGGGAAAGGGGGCGTCCAGGAAGGGGTTCGCAGATCATGGTCGAATGCATGTGCGCAGCCCGCGGGGAGACCAAAGGACATGGTTTTGCCCACATGCTTGGTGGGGTTTTGGTTTTCTTCCATGCCTCGTCGCACCCGCGCTCACTCACCTCACCTCCCTCTTCCCCTTCTCGCACAGCGCAGCACAGCACAGCACAGCACAGCACTGCTCAGAATAGCTCAGCACAGCTCAGCTCAGCACAGCTCTCGTCCACATGCTTAGTGCATAGCAGGCGTGGCACCTTCCCGACGCCACAGGGGGTGCGCAGGGGGTGGTCCCTGAGTGCGGCCGCTATCCGAGCCGGTCGGCCAGGGCATAGCAGGAGTGGCATTGCCCGACACCGTAGGGGGGGTGGTCCCTGAGCGCGGCCGCTATCCGAGCCGGTCGTCCAGGGCATAGCAGGGGTGGCATTTCCCGACACCGTAGGGGGTGCGCAGGGAGTGGTCCCTGAGCGCGGCCGCTATCCGAGCCGGTCGGCCAGGGCATAGCAGGAATGGCATTTCCCGACACCGTAGGGGGGTGCGCAGGGGGTGGTCCCTGAGCGCGGCCGCTATCCGAGCCGGTCGTCCAGGGCATAGCAGGAGTGGGACTTTTCCGACACCGTAGGGGGTGCGCAGGAGGTGGTCCCTGAGCGCGGCCGCTATCCGAGCCCGTCGTCCAGGGCATAGCAGGAATGGCATTGCCCGACGCCGTAGCGGATGCGCAGGGGGTGGTCCCTGAGCGCGGCCGCTATCCGAGCCCGTCGTCCAGGGCATAGCAGGCGGAGTGGTATTTCCCGACACCGTAGGGGGTGCGCAAGGGGGTGGTCCCTGAGCGCGGCCGCTATCCGAGCCGGTCGACCAGGGCACCAGGGCATAGCAGGAATGGCATTGCCCGACAGAGTAAAAAGGGTGCGCAGGGAGTGGTCCCTGAGCGCGGCCGCTATCCGAACCCGTCGTCCAGGGCATAGCAGGGGTGGCATTTCCCGACACCGTAGGGGGGTGCGCAGGGGGTGGTCCCTGAGCGCGGCCGCTATCCGAGCCGGTCGTCCAGGGCATAGCAGGAGTGGCATGTCCCGACACCGTAGGGGGTGCGCAGGGGGTGGTCCCTGAGCGCGGCCGCTATCCGAGCCGGTCGACCAGGGCATAGCACGAGTGGCATTTCCCGACACCGTAGGGGGTGCGCAGGGGGTGGTCCCTGAGCGCGGCCGCTATCCGAGCCCGTCGTCCAGGGCATAGCAGGAGTGGCACTTTTCCGACACCGTAGGGAGGTGCGCAGGGGGTGGTCCCTGAGCGCGGCCGCTATCCGAGCCGGTTGTCCAAGGCAAGGCAGGATAACACTTTTTCGACACCCTAAAGGGGTGCGAAGGGGGAAAAGACGAGGAAGAGGAGGATGAGGAGGCTATCATCACTCCAGCCATAATGTAAGTATGTGGGGTTTCTCGGTAGCGTAATTGATTGGTCGCCGTGGCGACGAATTGACGCGTCGTGCGGCCTCCCAGCCGCCGCACGGGGGCGTAGACGCCGACTCTGGATCCAAGACCGACCTGGTTAGGATCGGCGCATTCGGAGGCAACTTTTTGGAAGTGTCCGTGATAACGGCGGATGGATTATCCAGCAGATTCCAAGGCCATCAGGCCAGACGCAATCATATTCAGCCAATTGTTTAGCCCGGCTGCGCGTAATCAGACGGGAAGAAAATAAGTTGTTAAACGGAGCGTCGCCGGATTAGGCCCAGTGTCGGCCACGGGGCCACGGATAGACAGTCGGGCTGCTGAAGTTATGGACGATCAATCAGGAACGGAGCCGCGTGTTGGCCCCCAGAGCGCCTGCGTGCACGAAGAGGGCGAATGAACAGTCATGGAGGACCTGAAGAGCATCGAGCCCCTTCTGAACCCAAACCGTTCCTTACTTTAGCGTCTTGATTGTACCATCGCGGATGCTGCATCTGACTTCCCACGGGTTGCATCCCAACGGTGCAGGCGTATGGTTGGCTCGCTCGGGCAGCCAGCGTGGGCGACGAGGACCGGGAGGGCACCCTCCCCGCGGCACGTCCCGCAGGAGCGGCCCCATGCTGCCCGAGGTGGGCGCTGCAACCCGCGGAGTGGGGCACAATGTTTCCGCGGCTCGATGCTGGGGCACGGGGCTTCTTGCTGCTGCAGCTTTGCTGGTTACGCCTCGGCACGCACGGCCTTCAGTTGTGGAAGTGCAGGCCCGCGCTGAAGTGCCTCGCCCGCCTCAGGCTCCGGAGCCACTGGGGGGGAGGGAGGTGCGGAAGAACAGAGGCGAAAATGGGGAGAGGAGGGGGCAGGAGGAAGGAGGAGGAAAAGGAGAAGGAGGAGGAGGAGGAGGAGAAGGAGGAGGGAGGAGGGGGGCGGACGAGGATAGTGGAGGAGGCTAAAACAATATGATGATGATGGTGATGGTGATGATGATGATGCTGATGCTGATAATGACGACGATGGTGATGATGGTGATGACAATGGTGATGATGATGGTGATGATGATGATGATCGTGATGATGACGACGATGCTGACAATGCTGATGATACAAATGATGCTGACTAGGATGCTGATGCTGGTGCAGATGCTGATGATGCCGATGATGCAGTGCGGGGCCTGCAGGGTGCGCTGGCTCGGCGAGAAAGCGCATTCGGATGGGAAAAACCACCACGTGGGTGGAAAACCTCCGGCTCCAAATCTGGGAAAATGACAAGAGCTGAGGGCGCCGACCAGGGGCGCTAGATATGGAGGCGCCTGCGCAGGGCGCTGAAATGAATATGGAATGGTCCCCGGCCTGGCCGGGAAGTCAACGAATTCTCTACAAATCAACTGACTTCCCTGCCCGCGCTGGGTGACGCTATGCGGAGGCTCCCCTTGACGAAGCATCCGCGGGCTGCAACTCTGCTGCGGGGCGCGGCGGGCAGAGAGCGCGAGTGCGCGTTTCGCCCCTCGCTGTGCGGCCGCGGTTGGACGCCGCGTCGGCCCTGTCGGCTTCGGCGACCTGGGAAGCCGAGAAGGCAGGAAGGTCTCCCTGCATCATCCGGGCTCTGCACTGTTTGCCGGAGAATTGGAGGTGGTGGAGCGCGCGGGGGCGCGTGCAAAAAATCATTGGAGCAGGCTGGGCACTCCGCGCCAAGGATGTGAAACCGCGCCTGCATTTTTATGCCGTGCGCGTGCCTCCTGTGAGCGGCCAAGCCTTTGGGGCCGCGGCGTTCCTTCTGGCAGTCAGGGCGTGTCAGAGTCGGGACCGGCGCAGTCGCCCGCCCAAGCGGGGCAGGTTGCTTCCCTCGCTGCCGGCGCATGGCCGCCTGGGACTGCGGGGCCTCGCAACGGCATGCGCGGAATGCGTGGCAAAGCCGCCTCCATCTCGCGGGCTCCGACAGGATGAACTCGCGCCAGGCGGCTGGGAAATGAAATGGGTCTCCGAGGGCCTGCGTTTCCGCCGGATATGCGGCTGCCAGATGCCTGAGGCCCGTCAGGAGATGGGTGGCAGACGCGGGCTTGGGCACGGCGGCAATGCAGCGCACCGCCAGCGGCGGCGCCTGCAACTGCGAGCAGAGGCCTGCAAGACGCTGCGCCCGCGCCAATGAGGCGAGCGGTGGGGCCTGCAGCGCGGCCCTCACCTCGAGGTCCGTCGGCGCGCCGGGGGCCCCGAAGCGCATGGAGCCGTGAATGCGGCGAAGCACTCGGTGGTACTGGGCCTCCAGCGGGAGCCATCCTCTGTCGAGCAGACCTCGCCATGCCGCCGCTGCAAACAGGCTGCGCGAGAGCACGAGAGAGTTGGCGAGCTTGATCCGAGCTTGATCCTGGCGGGCCCCGCAATGGCCTTGGAGCCGAAGATGGGGGCGGGCAGCGGCGCGAAGGCCTGCTGCGCCTTCGCCGCCTTGCGTCGGCCGTCGGCCTGGTGGCCTCCAGCGTCCTGGTGGATCGTGCCCAGGCGGGTGAAGTGGTGAACGATCTCCAGGGTGAAGCCGCCCGGGGAGGTGAACTGCTCGCGTCCGTTCTCCATTAGTGTGCTCTGGTGGAGCTTCCTGGAGCCGTTGCTGAAAAGCTTGGCCATGGCGGCGGACTTCCCTGGGCCGAAATTTATTGTGAGACCGAGGCGCGCGAACTCGTGGACCAGAATGTCCGTGGCCATGCAGGTGGTCCAGCACCTGCTGTGGCCCGCCGCGCTCCGTCTCGAGGAAGGAGAAGACGGCGTCATCGACGTGCTCGCCGTCGACGTCGGTGTTTGCGGTCTCGTGGAGGTCCTCCCTGGAGTCGAGGGCGGTGGCCCAGGGGAAAGCAACGTGCTTCGGGGTCCGAAGCTGGAGGGCGATGCCGGCTTCCCGGAACCGCTGTCGCGCGCGGCCCAGTGCAAGCTCGTAGGCCAAATTGAAGCAAAGCGCGCCCAACCGACACCCTTGGCGGGCCCCGCGGCGAGCGAGGGCCACATCATGCTCCGCCCCACGGATGGCGAACCAGGTGCCAGCATGCCAGTCGGCGATCTGCCGGGCATCCTCTGGCGTCATGCCCGCCTGCTCCAGTAGAGGCGGGTGCGTCTCGAGGTATGTCTGGGCCTCCTGCGCGACAGGCGCGGGGGTGCCAGCTCGCTGCAGGTACGCGGACAGGTCCGAGAGCTTGCCACGGCCGACGCCGTAGAGGTACTCGCGGATGATGGAATCGAAAGCCTTGGCCAAATCCAAGAAGAGCAGCGCCCAAGACCGCCGCTGATGGAGGGCGCGCTGCTGGTGGAGGGCACGCTCGATGAACGTTGGGATGGCCGTGGTGAGAAGCGCGGCATCCCTCCCCGGCATGGAACCACACTGCGCCAGACCCAGGGTGTTAGGAGCCGCTCGGAAGACGGGCTCGGCGATCGACATGCAGCACCACTAAGATAGATGGTCGGAGACGACGATGCCGCGGCTGTTGCCGCACACCGCAGGGTCGCCCTTCTGCTTCCAGATGCCCCAGAGCTTCCCTCCCTTCATCGCGATGGGGGCCTGGGCGGCAGTGAACGAAATATCGAACAACGGGATCGCCATGTCCAGCGCGGCCTCTCCACCGGCTCGCCAAATGGACGCGCTGATGCCGTCTGGGCCGAGGCCCTTCTTCGGGTGAATGCGATCTAGGTTATGCCGCACTCGGTCACGATCCAAATGCTGCGGCGGCCGCCGTAACGGATCCCCGGCAGGGGGGGGCTCTGACAAAGCTGTCATAGTTTGGCAAGCAAACAAGGAGGACCAATGTCGCTCCCATCTGCGCTGGATCTCATCGGGGTCGAAGAGCGCAGCGCCGCGTTCGTCCAATGTTTTGGCGTGCTTGCGGAGGCCCTTGTGCACCTTGAGCTGTCTGGTAATGTTGTGCAGCTGCTTGGCGTCGCCGCTCCGGTCGGCCGCGTCGGCCTGGAGAGCCAGCTCCTCGCCCCAGCGTTGCCGATCTATGCGAGTGAGGGCTCGCACTGCGTTGCGATGAAGTGCGAAGTCTCTGGGCGCCAGCGCCGCTTGGCGATGAGCGTCGGGAAGTTGCTGTAAGAGGTGTTGTGCACGATCGCGGTCGCGTCGGTCCTGCAGGCTTGTTGCTCGCCATTCCAGAAACGCGCGGGTGAGTCGGAGCCTCTGGACGCGGTGGCCGCGCCAGACTGCCTGATTTCGAACTTGCGGGGTGCGTTGGGCCAATGCCCAGCTGGTTTGGGAGATACATGGCTGTTGTGGCACCGCCTTGGACGGCGCGAAGAAATGTCGACGCTGGGGCCGTTGGACCCGGTGGATGAGCTGCTGGTGGTAGCGGTCAGGGCCGTCGTGGACGCACTGCTGGAGCTCGCGGGCGGCCTACTGCACGCCCCTCTGGAAAGCCACGCGCACGTCCTCGTCGCAGAGCCGGGCCGGGCTGACCTTGAGCGAAGGAGGAGAATGCTCCTCCAGGAGTGCGGGGAGGGCGAGCTGCGCGCCCAGTGCCTTGTGGTCCTCCCTCTCGGTGAAGCTGAGGCTGTCGTCGTAGACCTGCGCGCTCCGTAGATGATGCTGCCGTCGAGGACCGAGCCAGATGTGGTCGCACCGCTTTTCGTGGCCCAGTATGCCGAACCACGTGGGTTCCTCGCTGCCGAGGAGCTCGGCCGCGTCGGCGAGATGGTTGGCGAGGCGGCACTCCTGTGAGAACTGGTAGTTGGAGCTCACGCCATGGACCTCGTCGTCGTCGTTGCCATCGATGAAGACGATGATGGACGTCCGGTGCCGCGCCTGCCGGAGCTCCCTGTGCAGGGCATCCCAGAAGTCGCGCTTGTCCTGGGTAGGGGCCGATGAGACAGGTGCGTGCGCAGAAATCGCCATAACGGCGCAGCCTGCGATAGAGGCCTCGGTGCGGAGGAGGCGTGGGTTGACGACGTTGGTGGCGGCCTTGCTGGCGGTCGCGTGGAGGTCCTTGTGGATCCACAGCTGGACGCCGCCGGTGCCGTCCGAGATGGCGGCAGCGGTGAACGCGTAGTAGTGGTTGAGCTCCTGGCAGCCCTGATCTGGGAGACGGGCCTCCTGGATGCCAGCGACGTGGACTCCGCGGTCGCGGAGGTACGTCTCAATCAGCTGCGTGCGGGCAGCGAGGCGCTGGCCAATGCGGCGCAGTTGCCTCTGCTCCTTCGGGTCGAGCGTCTGGACGTTGAAGGTCGCCAGGTTGAGGAAGGAGACCTCCGTGTCATCACGCCGCATGCGGTGCCCTTGCCATCGGGTGAGCGGGCCTGCGCTCCCAGAAGGTCTGGGAGATGACCCTGTCCACTCTGGCCAGTTTCTCGAGCCGCGTCCAGCCGTGGCTACGAGGGGGGCCTCCGGAGGCCAGAAAGCCTCGAACCCACGCGCATTCGCAGATGTGGTGTGGTAGGCCGAGGCGTTGGCGACGGTCACATTGTAACTTTCCTCCCAACGTCGGCAAAAGTCACCGTCGGCCTCGCCGACGCTGCCCACTGGGCGGAGGAGCCCGCCCCAGTAGTCGGGTAGGGAGCAAAGCGGTCTGTCGCCCCCGCGCTGCGAGGCCGAGGAGGTCTCGCATCGGCTAGCATCGCGGCGGGGATTGTGAAGTAATTGGTCAGGGGCTGCTGGACAGGGCCCTTGAATGGCTGCTAGCCTTGGTAGCGAGTGCCCACTGGCATTCCGGGTGCACTGGTGTCCACCCCTGGCACTGGCTTCGATTTGGTGCTGTGCCTGCGTGGGGTGGAGGCATGCTGACCGGTTGGCGCTTCTGCTTGCTCTTCGAACGCCTTCTCGAACCGGGACAGCAGGTCCGCGCTTAGGGACTTGGCGTGATCGGCGGCGTCGGCCGGGGCGCCGGGCAGAGAAGCGACTTTGTCGCAGGCGGCGGCGAGATGTGCTCGTAGAGCGTCCAGTCCCTCCTCTGGCACTGGGGCCTCGGCCAACTCGTGCTGCAGGTCCGTCAGCTCCTGGGTCAGGCGTTGCTCCTCGACCTCCGCCGCTTGTGCTGTTTGCTCCGCTAGGGCCAGTGCCTCCCTCGCCTGGAGGGTGCGCTTCTTGGCGCGCTCGAGGGCGTCATTGCAGGTGTCCCTGCGTTGGCCCAGGGGCTTGTCCGAGATCAGCGCTTGCTTGTGCTCGGCCACCTGCTTGACGATGCTGGAGCGGAGCTCCTGGTGCTCGACCCCCTGTAGGGGGATGAGCGCCGCCTCGAGCTGCTTGATCTGGGCCTGCCGCTGGGCCTTGGTCAGGTCGCCGGATGCGGAAGGTGGCGCTGTTGGCGCTGCCGTGCTCGGAGGTGCCGTAGTTGGGGCCGCCTGCAGGAGCTTGCTGGCGACCGCGGAGAGCTGTGCCGCCACTCCCTGCTGAGGGGGCGGAGCGGCGTTGGTCAGCGAGGGCTGGCCCGGCTGGGGCTGGAAGGACTTCTTGACGTTGCAGACGGAGCACTTCGTCTTGGGCGACCAGTTGGTGGAGTTGCAGACCTTGCACGTCCACGAACGCGCAGCCGTTGTCGACGGCGGGCGCCAAGTGCGTGAGCCGTTGACCCACGAGCCGTCCTGGTTCTGCTTCCAGCCGAGCTTGGTCCACTCGTCGTGGGACCACATCGCTGCCGGTGCCCGCTGCGGCAGGGCAATGGACGAGTACTGGCGCGACGGCCAGGAACAGGGTTTGTATGGAGAGGTTGAAAAGCTGTCTCAAGCACATGCGGTGCAAGGACGTGGGCTGTCTGGCTTGGCCAAGCGCACGGCTTGAGCCAAAATGGCTTGAGCCAAAATGGCTACGGAGATGATGATGATGAGGATGATGATGATGGTGATGATGACGATGATGGTGGTGATGATGCTGATGATGATGCTGATGATGATGCTGGTTATGATGATGCTGCTGATGATGATGATGACGATGATGATGACGATGATGATGATGATGACGATGATGACGATGACGATGACGATGATGATGATGATGATGATGATGATGATGATGATGATGATGATGATGATGATGCTGACGGGGAGGAAGAGGAGGAGGAAGAGAAGAAGGAGGAGGGGGAGGAGGAGGGGGAGGAGGAAGAGGAAGAGGAGGAGGGGTAGGAGGAGGAGGAGGAGGAAGAGGAGGCGGAGGAGGACGAGGAGGAGGAGGATGGCTCGGTGGAATGGGAAGGAGGGCGGACGAGAGAGGGAGGAAGACGAGAGGAAGGGAGGAAAGGAACAGGAAGGAGTTGGGAGGACCGAGGGAGACATGTTTAGTGGTGAGGATGGGGAATGGAGCTGGAAATGAGTAAGGGAGGGGGGAGGGCCAGGAGATGGGTGATATGGGATGAGGCATGGATGAGGAGGGATGGGATACGAGGTGGAGGAAGAGGATGGAGGAAGTGGAGGAAGGCGATTACGACGATGAGAGCGTATCGCATATCGGATCTATTGTAGGTTCTCGCGCGGTGGGATGCTCCAGGATAGGAGGAGGAGGAGGGCGAGGCGTAGGATGGAGGAGGGGGGGAGCAGGGAGGCGCCGGTGGAAGGGAGCACGGAGGAGGGGGGACAAGAGAGGGGGAACGCGGAAGGATGATGAACCCCACAGGCCCTCCGTGCTGCTGGTTGCCCAGGGATGCATCCCTAGCTCCTTCCTTCCGTTCTTGAATCTCGTAGGGAGGTGTGCGCCCTTCCACCCAACCCTCCCCATGGTCCAAACCTTGGCGGACCGCTGGGTCTCAAGGGCTCGTTTTCACCCCCTGCAGCCGAACACGTCGATGTGCAAACACGAGCGTCGAACATGGCAATTACTATCGAAATGAAAGCCTTGGCCCTAATGCGGCACCACCTTTCACTTGTTCCCATTAGGCCTCCTAGACGGTCCAACAGGCCTCCACCACTCTCACAGTACGCTCCAAAGGACGGTTCGAGAGGCTCCCAAGGGACACCAAGAAACGTCCGTAGAGGAACACACAACTGCATAAACATAAACCTTCGGAGGTCCACGAACATTCCTTGGATCAACACGGGGGCCCTGTCAAATTGGCGCGCGGAGCGCGTGCCGCCAGGAGGGCCCAGCGCAGATCCGAGACATCCGCGAGCAATTCCGAAAGTTTAGGTTTATGTTTCTGTTCTCTTTGAAACCAACAGAGACCGAGAGGCCCCTTAGACGAGCCCCAGAAGCTAACAGCGGGTCGCAAAGCTCCACCGTCACCGCTCAACTGGCATCGCCCTGAAAGGCACGCTGGCCCTCGAAGGAACACCTGTCGTACACAGTCGCCCACGGCCTTGTTCACGTCCAGCGGGTCCTGAAGAAAGTCGGTCCTGGACCTTGGAGCCCCCCCCTGGGACCAGCTTATCATCCTGAAGAGTTGTTTCGCAATCCTGAGGCCACTAAAAGACCCCGGAAGCCCGAAACATGCGAAACAGCGTTGGACCCGCTTCCCTCGGGACCAGTTTCCTTCATGGCGAACCATGGAAGGGCCCAAGACGCACCACTGGCGGACACTGCCCATGCAGGAGCCGAAGGGATGACCCAGGGGCAGCCGTACGCCTCGCGGCGCCGTTTTTTCGTTCGTTCCCAGTCGTATTGAAGAGACAGCGCCGCGCTCCACTCCTGCCGCTGCCCCCTCCTCCTCATCGCTCCTCTTCCCGCCTCCTCCCTCTTATCCCTGCCTCTGCCCTCCGCCTGCCATCACTAATCATAATCACCATCAACCTCATCATCGCCGTCGTCATACACACATCCCGGCACAGCCCTAACACGCTTCGTGGCCTCCTGGGGAGCTCCATCTAATGCCCCAGCGGCTGCGGCCGCATGCGTCCGCCACACCCATGTTGGCACATCACTCAAACGTTTCGTGGCCCCAAATGGGGGCCCCGCCTAAGGCCCCAGCGGCTGCGGCCGCATGCGTCCGCCACATTCATTTCGGCACCCTCCTCATACGTCGTGCCCGATGGGGAGCTCCACCTAAGGCCCCAGCGGCTGCGCCCGCATGCGTGTGCCACGCTGATTTCGGCACACCATCACACGTTTTGTTGTCCAAAAGGGAGCCCCACGTAAGGTTTCAGTGGCTGCTGCCGCATGCGTCCGCCACACTCATTATGGCCCCCCCCGTCACACATTTCGTGACCCACTGTAGAGCTCCACTTAACGCCCGTGCGGGTGGAGCCACATGCGGCCGCCACACCAATTTCGCCACCGGGCGTGGCCCAGTGCGTCCGCCATGCTCACTCTGGCACACCCTTCACCTATTTCGTTGCCCGAAACTCACCGAACGCGATATCCACAACGACGGCACTCACAACTGCATGTGCTTGGGTCCGGGGTGAGAACGATGGCGGAGGCAGTACGGGTGAAGATGAAAACGAACAAAGTGATACAATCAACCTGTTTCTTCAACATGATGGCCACTGCTGTGCCGGATGCCGGCCAACCGGCACCGTCGACAAGACTCTGTCGGCAATTGGTTTTTAGCAATGCGCCTGGGAAGATTTTTGGGCGTGGCTTCCTCGCGCGACCATATGTGTCACTGCAAATCGCGCCTTGCGGTTTCTAGGCGCCTAAAGGACGACCCGAGCATTCGCCGCCCCTGTCGCTCGCGCGCGTCTGCCGACGCAGGCGCGAGCAGGATGTTCCTTCGCCTCGTTTGCGGGGCGGCGCGCGAGCGATTCCCGCATGAACCCGCAGGGGCTGCACCTGCGCGACGCTCGATGGCACAATCCTGCGCCAGTAGACGAAGAATGCGTAAAGCGCTCTCACGCGATGGGCGGAGGAAATCTATGCGTTGAGAATGGGAGACGACGCTTCGTGGGGCATCGTTGAATCAGAGGCCACGGCGCGGGCGCCGTAACGAAGGCTGGTTGTCGCTGAGCGCGCGGCGGGGATTCCACGCGATTGCCCTCGCAACGCGGCGCTCGTCGTTGACGGGTTTTTGCTGGCGGTGCCATGAGAAGCGCCACCATTCATCACAGGCATCCCGTGGCCGCCAAGATTGCGAGAGCTGGTGGTGGCCCGGGGGGGAAGAGGGGGGAGAATGGAAAGCGGAGAGACATGACAAGGGGGAACGGGAAACGGAGGGGAGGAGGGGGCGAGGGCGGGAGGGAAGGGGGAAGGGAGGAGGGAGGGGCAGAGGAATGAGGATGAACAAACAGCAGCAGGGAGGGAAGCAAGACCCGGCCGTGGCTGCCTACTTCGCGGCTTGAGCATGTCCCGCGGATGCAGCCAGCGTGGAACAATGGGAAAGCTTGGCGCGTATCACTATCATGAGCTCGGTTCAATGTGAAGTCCTGGCTCGTCTGATTTCAATTCGAGAGCCGCGGCAAATCTGGCTGCCCCGGTGCGCAACACGCAACGCGTAGCGTGTTGACAAGGAGGTCGACGCGACGACTGCAGACGCAAATCCATTGCGATATGTTCGCCAAAACGTGAACCAACACGTGCCGAGCCAACACACATCGTGTTAACGCATCAATTTTGAACACGGTACGCGTTGTGTTTCAACACGGGCGTATCAGGGCAACTAAGATTTGAGACGACCGGGGGGTCTGAACTTGTTGGGGGCCCAGAAAATCTCAAGAGGGGGGATGCAGCCGAATCCGTTCAAAATCAGTCCCCGGACCTCTCCAGGACTCCACCTGGTGCAGCTTTTCGCGCAAGATCCGCACCTGACGGTCCTGGGGACAATAACGGCCCCCGGGGACGAAAACGGCAAACACTTTTCCGTTCCCAAGATGTCGAACCTCGCCGTCCGTTCTTGCTGGCCAAAATCGTTCACATGAACATGGGCGGGCGCATCGGGGCAGCGACGGCCCGACCTAGGACAGAAGAACATCCTTGAAAAACATGAGACCCCAGCCGACAAAAACACCCCAGGATATACAACAACACCCAACAAACACGATGAACATTAGGGTACCCTTCCGAACCGACCTCGGCCTTGTACGTCGGTCCGACCGTAAGGCGACAGATGGCTGGCCCTCCGTGCGCACACCCTGCTGCAGGCTCTCGGGGCGAGCTGGTCGCGCGGCGCGCGCACTGACGCGGTCCGTGGGTGCGCGGCCCGCGGATTGCCAGCTCCCGTTGCAGCGTGGCGCGCGGTCGTGGGACATGTTTTTCGGTTGGACGACGATGATCCAAGATGCTCCTCGATGACCCTTGACAAACATAATATGCACGCATCTGGGCAATGCCAAGAAGACGGGGGTATCCAGGAAAGGGCTTTGCCGATCATGGTCGAGGGCATGTGCGCAGCCCACGCGGAGGCCAGAGGACATGGCTATTGGTTGGTCGCCGTGGCGAAAATTGAAATGTCATGCGGCCTCCATGCCGAGGCACGGGGGCGTAGACACCGACTCTGGACCCAATGTCGAACTGGTTAGGATCGGCGTATGCAGAAATAACGTATTGGAAGTTCCTGCAATGACGGCGGATGTATTCTCAGCCATATTCAAAAGCCATCAGGCCAGACACGAGCAAATGCGGCCCAATAGTTAACCCGAGTGTGCGAATTTAGACGGGAAGACACGGACTTGGTTCAACGGGACGTGGCCAAATTAGGCCACACATCGGCCACGGAACCACGGATACACAGTCGGCTTGCTGAAGTAAGGAACGACCAATAAGGAACGAG